AATGAACCATGCCGGGTCGGGTCAAGTACATACCAAATATAGTTATGGACTTAGACATTAATCCAACAGTAAGTCGTTGAGTTCATAGAACTCACGACGTGACTTTGTGATTCCCACATCGTGAGGTCAGTCCAGTAGGAAATTCGTGACTGAGTTATCTGAATCGGGAGCGAGTTGTTGGGATCGGACCTGGTCGACTCTCACGATGTGACCAAGGACTGGTAATGACGTGAGACCCGATATTAGGGTTTTGTCTGATGGATTTGACTCGGTTGACTTTTGTTTTTGACCAGGATTTGACTAAGATTGACCTAGGGGTATTTTGGGTATTTTGAGTTGTAGTCTGAGTAGTGGTCACTGTTTTATGTAACGATAACCGGCAGAGTCGGTATTCGGAGCCGCATGTTGTGTAGCTATTTCGTCTGTTCCTGAGGTGAGTCTCCTCACTGTATCCATAGGTCGAAGGAACCAATGTCGGCCCATTATTCTGTTATGTAGAATGCTAGTTGTTATGTGACATATATGTTTATATGATCAGGTTGAAATACACCCCAGGGCAGGGCTCACTATGGCATGTTCACGTTGAAATACACCCCAGGGTGGGGCCCACTATGGCATGTTCAGGTTGAAATATAACACAGGGCGAGGCCTTAGGGCGGGGCCCATATTTGTTTATTGAGTTGAAATATACCACAGGGGGAGGCCCAGTTGTATGTTTTGTATGTGGTACTTTGGGGGAACTCACTAAGCCTTGTGCTTACATTTTATGTTTATGTTTTCAGGTGCTTCCGGTTCAAAGGGGAAGAGCCCGGCGTGATGGCACAACATTCTCCCTCATGATTTCCGCACCTTTTGGATATTATTACTCTGATGATTTTGATATTGTACTTTGTGGATATTTTGGAACAATTTGATAATCGAAACTGTTGATTTTAAAATGAAAAATTTTATCACGATTTTTGGGTTGTTACAATAAAAAATTTGTAGCAAAAAGCAATATATTTTGATTCAGTAGCAAATTCCATAGCAGGCTAGCTACACACTTTTGATTCTGGATAAAAATTTCATAATTATTCACATATTAGGTACGTAATTTAATTTTGTAATAAATTTTGTAGCGAAATAGTTATGGCCAATTACTCTATAGCAAATTACCTAGCAGATTAGCTACGGATTTTAATTTGGTATATATTCTTAAAAGTCATATAAGCTTATACAAACGTACATTCTATGTTAGAAGTTCGGGGTAATAAAAGGCTTGGAAATTCTGAGAATCGTGTGTACACTTTCAGATTACAGTATTTGGGTGGTACTCACAACCTTTAATCGGATAAGACTCAGAAGAGTTTCAAGAACAGAGAATATGAAGTATGATTTTCGTGATTGTTATTGTCCCGGGAAAATGATGACCAAAATGATTAAGTACTTCAGTTGTCTGAAAATTGTCAAGGTAGTTTTCTTTGTCCAAAAACCACTCCAACTGTCAAAACCAGTTTATAACAGTCATAAACTGTCACTAAAATCGGATCATTAATAAAGGTTAAAATGAAGTCAAAAAACTGGGTTCAACCCTAGCTAGGGGCTCTGCCCCTTGGACCCCGCTCCCAGGGCCGCTGCCCCCGGACCCCCGTTCGTTTAGGGGCTTCGCCCATAAATGACAATCTACTTTGAATCTTGAATGAACTTAAACAAGTGTGCACTCCGCACCTTCCTTACTTATTTAATATTCATCAAGATTGATTTTTGGTCAACAAGTCAATCCATTACACTTAAATACACATTGATGATACAAAATCACCAACATTCTACACATTACAAACTCGCAATAATGCTAAAACTAACTTAATCTTGTCTTGACTATCGAGTTATCCTACTGATTATACTAAAGAATTCATAACACTGAAATCACTAACATTTATTTTGATCAAGACAACTTTATATCGATCTCTATATTTACACAATGACTTACTACAAAACAATTGTTCTCTCATATTGATCTTACTTCTTGCCGTATAAATTAATTTAATAACTTAAAATATCGTTACATATACAAGTAATCGGCCCTTAAAAAACAAATTGATAGCAAGATTGTCAAGATCATGATCTTAGCAGGATCGTTTTATCTTTTGTAAGATCGTGATTATAAGATCGGATCAGGATCGTAAGTTCCTATTAAAATAAACTCATATTCAAATTTGCTTGTGAAGTCTTGAGTGTACAATATAGATTATAAATTGATGTTGATTAAAACCTCGATATGGAATCAACTTTATTTCCTTAAGCATGTACCATAACTTTTTGTTGCTGAGACCGTAAGTTTTTAAGCATGAACCATAATTTTTATTGTTAAGACCATAAAAACATGTTAATTACAAACAAAATCAAGATCATTGTGATATGTACAAGTAAAGGCTTAAGATCACAAAAAGAATATCATAATTATAACATGTCTAATTCAAAATGAACCGGTAATGTTCTATGAGGCTTCTTGCAACTTGCATTTTTTTTTCAAATCAAATAGACGGATTTTTAAGACTCAACTAGATAATAAAGTTATAAAACTAATAGGATGGGATCAGATCATGTTAAAATCGATATGAAGAATTTAAGATTTTAATATCCGATTATCCTATAAGCCCATTGTAAATCAAATAAATCCTTGTAAGATGGAGATTTTTTTGTTTGTAAGATCTTAAATTCGTAAAAATCTTAGAAGTTAGAATCAAGCTTGTGATCTTAAGGTACCCTAAGGCACATTTATCACAACATTAAAACAAATTTTAATAACTCTCTAATTCAAAAATATTCATAGGAGAAGTCTTGATTAATTTATAACAAAAAAACGACCAAAATTTCTAATCTAACTTTTTCTTATTTGGTAAAGAAGAGAAACGGATTACAAGTCATAACTCATCGTCCTCTCTCTCCTCGCTAGGAATCAAGCTGCCAACCACGCGTCCTTATTTTGAGCTGCAACTCTGTCACTGCCGCTAAAAACCTCACGTTCTGCACCGGCGTTAAAATCTCCACCACCCTCTCCGCCACTCTCGACCTCAACATATCCGCGTTCGCCACAACCACCTCCAACTGCTCTTTCAATGTCTCAAACGCCGATTCCATTTTGTCATACTTCCCATTCGCCAACCAATTCTCTCCTCTCCTAGCAACCTCAACAATCGGCGGCGCCGCTACGCTTTCCTGAATCATCGCCAACTCATTCTCCAATTCCCTCTCCTCAGCCTTCGTCTCCGCCTTCAGCCTCTCCATCATCTCCACCTGCTCCTTATTCATATCCTCCACCGAACGATCCACAACGCGAAACGTTAATCCGGGCTTAAATCCAGCAACCCAGAAGAAACTCCGTTCAAAAGACGAAAACCACGGCGGCGAGAAAACTAACGACACATCATGATTCGCGATTCGAGATTTCTCCTCGAAGTATTGCAGGTAATGCGCGAGAACACGAGCGATCAAATCACGGAGATCATCTTCGGAGGCGTCACAGGTTTGCATAGCCGATCGGAGGTCTTCCAGGTAATGTTCCTGACGAACTAACCATCCTTGGAAGAAATTCTCGAACTCTATTGCATTTGTGTCGATTGCTCTTCTGGATTTCGTCATTTGGAACAAATACGCCGGAAAATTTTGCTTGAGCTGCTGAAATTTATACGGTGGCGGTGGAAGAGAAATTTGCCGATGGTTCTGGAATGCTTGCGAGTACAAGTGGAATATGCAGGCAAAGGTGACGTATGAAGTAACCCTGGTTACAGGGAAATCAGCTGCGAGTGGCACGTACGAGGCTTATCCACCGACACCTCATTTTTTAATCAGACTCCGATTATCTATGTCTGCTACTCTGCTTACTCTTTTAGTTTTTTCTTTTTTTCTTTTTTTTTTCCTTTTTTTTTTGTTATGTTTTAGTTTTCCAAAGATTTATAATTTTTGGGTCTGTTCGGCAAAATTAGTTGGTAGCGTGTAGTTTGTAGCTTATAGCGTTTTGTTAAACGCTACATGAAGTAGCTTTGGAGCGTTTTGTTTAAACTAAACGCTAGAAGTTTGTAGTGTCGAACGAGTCTTTTTGTTCAAAATTGAACGTTTTGTCAAACGCTAGAAACTAGAAACTCTCAAACGCTCCGTACCGAACACGCCCTTTGTTTACATGATAATTTTTTGTTCTGTTTATTTCTGTGAGTTTTAAAAAAAAAATTATGTGTAATAACAAGTTACAATGACATATTATTTGCATAAAAACACTTAAGTTTATAAATATTTTATGTTTTTATATAAATATGTTTTTTTCATAAAGATTTAAAGGCTTTATTTACGTTTTTTACCCTATGTTTACATATTATACGAATAAAGGTTTTTATTTTTATTTTTTGAACGGTTGAATACATTAAAAAACCACATTATAACAAGGACCTAGAGCAAAAATAAACCATTTACATCAAGTATAAAAGAGGATTCAGAAACCAATGGTGCCATTTAAATTGGAATTTATACTTCCTATGAGCTATCCAACTAAAAGCAATCAAAACTATGTCTTCAAACATTTTATTCTTTCTTGATTTATTTGTATTAAAAATGCATTTATTTCTGAAATTCTGTAACATCCATAAAATTCATGAAAATTTTAAACTTTAAAAAAAACTCATAAATCATCATTGTTTACAAAATAGTTTTCGAAACATGTTTAATATTAGAGTTTTCCCAAAATCATAGAACAAAACACGAGGAGGTGTTCGATCACGCATTCGCCTTCCCGCGATCATCTGAGATATCTGAAACATAACCCAAAACTGTAAGCCCAATGCTTAGTGAGTTCCACCAAAATACCAACACAACAAATAACACTTATATAATAACAACATGCAATGAGTCCACAACTAACAGACTGGATTACCCCTGAGCCCACAACATAAGTTTGGCTTGCCCTCGACCCATAACTTATGCATGGCTTGCTCCCCGACCAGATCAGTCCCCGGACTGAATACCACAAAGCCCTCAATACGAGTCTGGCATGCCTTTCTCGACCCTCAGCTCGTATCTGGAATGCTCATGACCCCTCAATATGAGTCTGGCATGCCCTCCTCGACCCTCAGCTCATATCTGGATTGCTCCAGGGTTTATTGGCTACCGCACGGAGCAGTACAACCTCAACCCAACCCACTCAATATGTCGTCATATAACAGATAATAACATACACAAATAATCCGACAATATCACAGGCAGTCCTACAGATCTACCAACCACCATATCAAAACTAGCATGCATATCTATTCCATACTCAGCATATCAGCGAATATCAGGTTGTCAAACCAATAGGCCGTCCTTGGTGCCTTCGACCCGTAAGTACAGTGGGGAAAACTCACCTCGCAGACTGAACAGAACTGATGAGGTCTGACTCCAAAATCTCAGCTCTCTACACAATACCTACATCTACCAAGTGACCAATTCCATCAAGAACCCAAAATACCCTCAAAGTCCAACTTGTTTAAAGTCAACGGTCAAGGTCAACAGTCCATGTTGACCCAACACGTCGTGTTCCCCTTGACTACGCCCTGTTCCGCGAGCATCCAAACAGACAGGAAAACTTCAGCCAACACGTGTGTTGACTTGCAAACACAACGTGTTCGCCAGAGTTCCAACAGCTTAATACATTCAGCTGCCTTTTCAACCCCAAGAGCTCCAAAGCTCAGATCTAGACCAAATATGTGATTAGGAAGGATAAAGTTTTCAACTTTATCTATTGGGACTACCAAAAGGTCCAAAAACCCAAATTACAAGCTTGATAATGCAAGGGCTTAACCACAATACCCTTAATCCTTAAGATCTGAAGTCCATCCCTTCCAGAAGTGGTTCTAACACCTAAATCATCCCAAAGGTTGGTGCTTTTTAGACATACATGTCCAATGCATGTCTTGAACCCATATTAGGTCAAAAGGGGGATTTATGACCTAATCTCTATGCATGGCATCAAAACTTAGTTAAAGACCAGATCCAAGCCACTACTAGGTCACCTTGACTTGGAGATTCATAAAGTTGCAAACTTTATGAGATACATCCAATGAAACATCCAAGAACAAGGAGAAAAAGGGACAAAACTCAAGATCTAATAACTTTGAATGATAAAAATCGGGTCTTGGACACTTACAAAGGTCCAGGAGAGTGCCAAACTGAAGAATGGGGCTTGCTTGCTAGATCTTTGCTTCCTTCTTTTACCTTCTTCCTTCAAAACACCAACTACATTCACAAATGGGAGAGGAAATGATTAGGGTTTCTTTCCGAGCTTGAGGGGCTGATGGAGGCTGAGGGTGAACAAATCCTATCCTCCACATTCCTTTAAATAGGGAGAAAACCCCGAAATATTAGGGTTTCATTTTCGGTGGTCAACACGTCGTGTTCCAAGAGGAAACACGTTGTGTTGCCCAAATAAAACCCGCGTCTTTTAATATTTAGACAAGCCGTGTTGGTGCCTCCAAACTAAAAATTAAATTGAATTATAGGGATGAATTTAGAAGTACCTGAACATCGGGATGTTACAAATTCCAAACTGAACCACGACGTAGTGACTATGATCACTTCCAAAATTGCTTTACGAGCCGCATACATATGCAACGAATCCAAAAAAATTAGGTAATTCACGGATAATAATAAAATTAGATAAGTCTATATCACACCAACGAATTATCTTGAGAAGAATTTGGGACACCACTTCACACTTGATGAGAACATGCCAAATTTCTTCTATAGAGTTATTACAAATCGGGTATAAGGAACAAGGAATATTAATAATTAAATAATAAACCCGGAACCCCGAGAAGCAATTATTAATATTATATGTTGTTATAGTTCAAATCA